GGGTTCTAGTCCCGGTCGGGGCACCGGATTCTGTCCCGGTTGCCCCTCTTCCAGGCCTGCTCTCTGGTGTGGCCAGGGAGTACAGTGGAGGATGGCCCAGGTGCTTGGGCCCTGCACCCCATGGGAGACCAGGAGAAGCACCTGGCTCCTGCCTTCGGATCAGCGCGGGGCGCCGGTCGCAGCGCGCCGGCCGTGGTGGCCATTGGAGGGTGAACCAACGGCAAGGGAAGACCTTTCTCTCTGTCTCTCTCTCTCACTGTCCACTCTGCCTGTCAAAAAAAAAATTAAAAAAATAAAAAAAAATAAAAATAAGACTCATACTCTCTGGGCTTTATAGAATCTTCCCATTGTTTTTGAAGATTTTATTTTATTATTTATTTGAAAATCTGAGATATAGGGAGGGAGGGGAGAGAGAGAGAGAGAGAGAGAGATCTTGCATCTGCTGGTTCACTCCTCAGTTGACTGCAAAGGCTGGGGCTGGGCTAGGACAAAGCCAGGAGGCATGAGCTTCTTCCCTGTCTCCCACATGAGTGCAGGGGCCAAAGACTTGGGCCATTTTCTACTGCTTTCCCAGGTACATTAGCAGGGAGCTAATTGGAAGGATTGGAAGTAGAGCAACCGAGACATGAACTGGCACCCATATGGAATGCTGGCATTGCAGGTGACATCTTTACCTGCTTGGCCACAATGCCATCCCTGATACTCACATTTTAGAGATAAGAGAACTAAGGCTGGTGATTTTGGCTAGGGTCCCACAGCTAATAATTTTAGAGGAGCTGAGATTCAATTCAGATCTATCCATTAAATTTGGTCAGAGAGACCTATTAAGTATTACGTCATTCTGTTTTATGATTCAGACAATAAAGTCCAGGCCAGTGAGCTTAAAAGGGGGGGGTGCAGCTCTGAGCAGGGTGGTCCTTGGAGATGCTGTTAGAGAATGTCTTTCACAGAGATCACAGAAACCCTATGGCCAGAGGATTCACAAGGAAAGAAGGAGGCAGGAAGTCAAGAGGAGGCATCTCCAGCAGGTCTGATGCAAGATCCAAAGAAAAGTGATAATTAGGTGTTGGTGACCTGAAAAAAGGCAGTTATAGGACAGGCACATGTTTGTTGGGGTGAACAGAAAGAGGGATCCTAGCTCAGCACAGTGAGAAGCAGAAGAACCTTAATGGATGAGCCAAGTTGTATGCCTTGGAGCTGAACAGGTTTCAGTAGGCAGGTCTATGTTTCCTGGACTTTTGGTGAGATCTGGGTGTAGTATGGGCTCTGAGGTCCCTGACCCCACTGATATAAAGGTGCTGTAATAACTGACTCAGGGAGAAGGAGCCACATGTTGTGCAGATTTGCCCAATGCAGCCACAGACCACCTCCCGTGGTGGGTGACTTTGGAGACTGTGTAATTCCCGCAGTTACTGAGCAGGGTGTGGGGATACTGGTGAGTGCTCATACTTGGACCTTAAAAAAGAGCAATCAATAGGATCAGCTCTGCCCGCGTTTGTGAGGCAATCAGAATCTCTGCTTTCAGCCACTTCAGCAACTCCAACTGAATCCTGGTGACCCAAGAGCCTGGATGAAAACCTATAGTGTGATCCAACTCACAGCTGTATTTTTATTGGCATAAAGGAACCCTGGATGGTACCCAAAGCTTCTAATATCAAACCTATGGAATGAGAAGCGGGGCGTGATGGAAGGTCTGATTGATGTCTGGAGACAGGCGACCTCATCCAGCATTCTCTCAGCTCCAGTGATTGGTACAGATTGTTCACTTGGTTTTTTGTAATTCACTGCTTGATACATTTCAAGTAAATAGACTTCTGGAGGAGAAATGCAAGAGAGAAGCCTACTTGGTAAGGAAGGGAGTCTGTGTTAGGACCTGGTGCAGGCAAAATATTTGGAGCCCAGAAGTTCAACAAGGCAGGAAGATTGGCCCTGATGAGCAGACTAGTTTGGGATGCAGCTGCTTCTGTGGCCGTGGCTGTTTGGATCTGGACTCTTATGAACTTTTTGCCCAAATAGGCAGTGACCTTAGGAGATGGGATGGCATGAACTAAGGAAAGTGAGCAAGATGAGTTCATGTTGGAAGGACACACAGCAAGAATTTCAATTACAGGGCAGGGGGGAGAGTTAATTGGAGACAGGGCCATTTGGGAGCCTCCATTTAGGCTACTGATTCATATGTGCAAATCACATTTTCATGAATATCTATGAGAATTAGCAGTTTGAAAGCACAGGCTTTGGAGTTGGACACACGTAGCTGTGAGTTACAGCTGGGCCATTTATCAGCTATGCAATTTTGGGCAAGTTGTTCTCTTTGAGACTCAGTTTCTTTCCATGTAAATTGAGAATTGAATTCTCTCCTTCAGGGTAACTGTATGTGTCACTGCACCTTGCACAGTAATGTATAAAATTGAGACTCAACATCAGTTCTTTTTACCTCTTCTTGCCATCTATTTTCTCTCCACATTCTGAACCCTCAAGATTTAGGGGAAAGTAAATGGAACTCTGCTGGAGGGATGAGTCTTGCCTACAGAGAACATTGGCAATGATTGCTCCCCTAATGGACAGGATCATGCCTGTTTCATTCTCAACCCATAAGCAAATGGAAGCTATTGTGAAGTGAGAAATAATGTAGGAATGGGAACATGCATTCCAAGAAATAAAACCACTGATACATGTTTGCCACCTCCAAGATGGAGAAGGCCTGTGGGCAGGAGGGCGAGGAGCGTCATCCTTTCTTGTGCTTGTTGCTAGAGAGTGCTGCTGGCATTCCAAAGCCACAGGGGTGCTGGTGCCCCTCATCAGGCCATTTGAGTCTGCAGGATACTCATTTACCATAAAGGGAAGGAAGTGAGGTTGTTAATAATCAGAATTTCTCTTGAGTGAAGAGTCCCTTTACCCCCATTCTTGTGGTTCCCCGTGATAGTGACCAGGCTGGAGAACATATTAAAACATTGACTTTGCTGTGTCACTAGTGTTTTCATCCTCTATCCACCTCCTGCCCCTTCATCCCCCCAAACCTTCCCTCCTTTGTGCAAATCTGTTTTCACCACAGGAGCACATGCTGTCTCCTCTAGCTACAACACTACTTGCTAATTCAACGATTCATCTTTAATGAGGCCCCCTGCCAATGTTTAAATAGCATCCAGAACAAAGAAAAGGCAGTATTTCCAAAACAGCTGCTTCTACTGCATCCTCATAGCTCATCTCTGCAGAAAATCAAGCGAAGTGTATCGATAGAGATGGATGATGGTGAAATACATGGCATTATCAATAGAGACTATCAATATATCTATAGATGGATATGGGTATAGATAGACATAAAATACTCTCTGTAATGATGCCACAGATTTTAGATATAAGAACTCTTAAGAATGTTGGCTTCAAAAGTGTTATTGTAGAAAGAGTTTTCTTACATGGTTTTTACTGATTTTTTTTTTAGAATTGTCTGGGAAATATAATTGGTAGAGGAAATATGATGAAATTTGAATTAGGTACAGATAGTCCACCTTTTATCTCTGTTACTTAATAGCTATGTAAGTGAGTAGACCATTTAGACTCTCCGCCTATGTATTCTCTTACTGGTGAAGTGGAGACAAGGTTCTCTTCCTTTCTGAGGACATAGCACTGTGAATAGTGCAATGTTTGCCAAATAGTAGATCTGTAATCCTTCTATACCTTCCTTCCTTCCTCCCTCCCTCCCTCCTTTCCTTCCTCCCTCCCTCCCTCCTTCCCTTCCTTCCTCCCTCTCTCCCTCCCTCCCTCCTTCCCTCCCTCCCTCCCTCCCTCCTTCTTTCTTCCCTCCCTCCCTCCCTCCCTCCCTTCCTTCCTTCTTTCCTCCCTCCCTCCCTCCCTCTCTTCCTTCCTTCTTTCCTCCCTCCCTCCCTCCCTCCCTCCCTCCCTCCCTTCATTCTCTCTCTCCTTTTTTTCAGCGCTTTCCGAAACAGTAAGGAATGGGCAGAATCTGAAGGATTCCTTGCTTATGTTCTGGAAAGGACTGTTTTACAGGCCTGCAGTGAACAAGAAGGCTGTATGTTGACCACCCCTCAGATGTCACTCTTCAATCCCTTGCCAGAGTCATTCTTTGAGAAAGTGGAAGAAGGAATGTTATATGGAGAAGGTAACTGGCAAAAGCTCACATGTGCCTTTTATTATTTTTATTTTTTAAGATTTATTTATTTATTTGAAAGTCAGAGTTACACAGAGAGAGAAGAGGCAGAGAGAGAGAGAGAGAGAGGTCTTCCATCTGCTGGTTCACTCCCCCAATGGTCGGAGCTGAACTGATCTGAAGCCAGGAACCGGGAGCTTCTTTGGGGTCTCCCACGCGGGTGCAGGGGCCCAAAGACTTGGGCCATCTTCTACTGTTTCTTCCCAGGCCATGGCAGAGAGCTGGATTGGAAGTGGGGCAGCCAGGACTGGTGCCCATATGGGATGCTGGCACTGCAGGCGGTGGCTGTACCCACTATGCCACTGTGCTGCCCCCACCTTTTATTATTTTTAAAAGGAAGATGGAAAATAACAGAGAATAGGAAAACAATAACAAAATGAACTCAAGGAAAGTAGAAGGAAGGAAGGAATGTGTTGTAATAGTGTTAATGAACTCTAAACCAGAAAAATGGTAGAATTGATTTTAAAACCAATTTTTGGCACTTTGACAGGGAGAGGAAAACTTAGGGAAAAAAAGAATTAAGAAAAAAATTACAATCAGGCCTATGCTGGGAGATATAAACAGAAATAAAGAAAATTCGGAATTATTGGTGAAGAAGGGAACAGATGCTCAGAGAGATGTGGGGAAAGAGACCAGGAAGGCAGCAGGAGGGAGTGGGAGGGAGGAGAAAGGCAGGCCCTTGGCTGGCTTGCTGTCTTCCTTGAGTCCCCTCTGATGCTTTATTCTCCCTTTTTGCCTTAGTCATTTTGAAGTTGATTTTTCTGGCTTGCGGTTAAGTAGAGCATTTCTAACGTAGCTATGAAAAGTTACAAAATGATTTCTCTAGCATGATCCTGTTTTTGTTTAGGAAAACATGTATACATGTCCATTGTTTAAAAAGATTTATTCATTTGTTTGAAAGGCAGAGCCACAAAGAGGCAGATGCAAAGACAGAAAGAGAGAGAGATCCTCCATCCACTGGTTCACAACCCAAATATCTGCAATGGCCAGAGTTGAGCTGATCCGAAGCCAGAAGACAGGAGCTTCTTCCAGGTCTCCCATGCAGGTACAGGGGCCCAAAGCCTTGGGCCATCTTCCACTGCTTTCCTAGGCCACAGCAGAGAGCCAGATTGGAAGTGGAGCAGCCGAGACTGAACTGGTGCCCACATGGGATGCTGGCACTACATCCAGCCATGCCACAGCAACAGCATTGGCCCAAATGTCCATTTTTAAAGAGCCCAGAAGCCTACATCTTAACAATGATAGCAATGACTACATTTGGGTAATGGATTTATGAGTACATCTCATTTTCTGCTTATATGATTATTTATGTGTGTGCTGTTGGGGGAAGAAGGCTGTTGGACTTTCAGTAGTGGGGTTGACAGGGCAGCCAATCCAACTGGTGAGACATCTTGGCTGTGTCCTTACCCCTTGGAGAGGAATACTCCTTCAACAGCAGGAAGGTAGTCTCGCTACAGTAAGGACCAGAGTGACACTGGGTGGAGATCACTGGGTAATGTAAATGTCAAGAGAAGGTGGAGAGCCAATTAGAATAGTTGGAAGCTGAAGAGGGAGGAGCATGCAGGCAAATCCAGCATTCACTAACAAATCCTGCCAAGGATTGAGGTCTTTATGTCTGCCTGCCTGGAAGCAAGAGGCCTACAGAGCTGTTATGATCGGGAATCATTTTGTTGCAAGGAGCAGAAAGTTCAAGTACAAAGTTTATGAAGAAGGTTTCATCAAGGAACATAAATAAATTTCATGACCCCTGACTGTATAATTATAGCCTCTCTTTCCCTTCTTTCTTCTTTTCTTACATTTTTTTAAAAAGAATTATTTATTTATTTGAAAGGCAGAGTTACAGAAGTAAGAGGAAGAGACAAAGAGATCTTTCATCAGCTGGTTCACTCTCCAAATGACTGCTGAGCCAAGCTGAAGCCAGGAACGTGGAGCCTCATCTGGGTCTCCTACCTGGGTGGCAGCAGCCCAATTACTTGAGCCATATTCTTTCTGGTGCTTTCCCAGACCATCAGAAGTGAAGCAGCTGGGACTTGAACCCAGGGCTCATATAAGATGCCAGCATCCCAGGCAGCAGCTTAACCCATTGTGCCACAGTGCTGGCCCTTTGCTCAGAGGCCTCTGCTCAGAGGCCTCTGTAAGCTCAGAGGCTATACTCCTGAGGCAACCAGGAAGAGGTGGCCACTGCCATCTTGAGCTGCCTTAGCATGTTGCATTGTGTTGCAGGTTTTCCCTGCTTGGTTTTCTCATTTCCATGGACTCCTTGGTAGTAGGAATGCACTTTTTCCATTCTCTTTTGTCAGTCACCAGAAAGCTGCTCAGTAGGTAAACATTTGTTTGAACAACAAATACAACAGCCCTTAATGAACTGAAGTGCCATACAATCATAAGCTGACTTGGTAATGTTCACTCAAGGCAGGCTTGCTGGCTTCCTATCCTGAGCCTGTTCCTGGTGTCCTGTTCGGGTGGGCCAGGCCAGTGATACAACTCAAATTGATTTCACCAATTCACGCTTGTGCTCAGGAACCAGAGGAGACGGGATGTGGGAAAGAGCCTATCCCCCGCCTGGAACAGAGTAGCTTCTTAAACTGGAATACACTTCTGAAGAGGGCTCAGTGACAAGATGCACAAATCTGATGCTTACAGTCTCCTGTAGCCCAGAGTTTTCATGAGGAGACAAGGCCTCAGTGAGGCCACAGTTAATCAAGAAGCCTTCCTGTCCACATCAGGCTTCAACGCATGCCTTCTTTTATTTATATGACCTTTAAGAATGGTTTCCCATGGTCCCATTGCTTTTATGTGTAGGAACTATAGCTATGAGTACCTTTCTTTGATGCTTGACCTTCCACTGGGCATAGCTCATACTTAATGATTTTCTGAACTAATCTCCTCCATGTTTGGACTTCTCCCAATCATCCTTACATGATTCTACCTTGTTTTTCCCTGAATCACTTTATTTGGGGTTGATTTAATCATGTAATATGACCTCAGTCCTTTTAGAAGTAGGCTTAGGTAGAAATAGAACTCCTACATTAGTTATTCCACCCTAGACTTGAAATGGATTTTTAGGAACATTTCCTATTCAGCAGGACTCAGCCTGGTCATTAGTTTTCACTTTAGGATCCCATTTCCCATAATTACTCCCATGCTACATTAATCTAACAAGCATTTGTTGAACATTAGCATATTAACTTTTTTTGTTATTTTTATTTATTTGCAAGGTAATATGACAGACAGAGAAGAGAGAAAGCAAGATATCTTCCATTGGCTGACTCATTCCCCAGATGTCTGCAATGGCCAGGGCTGGAGCAGTCTAAAACCAGGATCCTGGAGATCCATCAGGGTCTCCATGTGGGTGCTGGGGCCCAAGCACTTGGGCCATCCTCTGCTGCTTTTCCAGATGCATTAGGAGGTGCTGGCATCCATAGGCAGTGGCTTAACCTGCTATGCCATCACAAAGGACCTTTTTTGTTTATTTTGAGATGACTGTATCAGTACCCTGCATTCAGGGAGCTCTGAACATCAGAGGAAGACAAACAACCCTGTGGTTTGTGTCCAATCAGCAGTGGAAGATCTCGGAGGGTGGTACACTTCCAGTTCACTGTGCATTTACCTTTCTCTGAGATCAAGTCTATAAAGCTGCTAAGGAGCTTTCCAAATTTCTAGCTGCCAGCGACTGTCCTGGCTACAGCTGTGGCCAATGAAACATAAGCAGAAGTGAGACCATTCACCTTCTTCCTTGCTTCTGGTGGAAGCCAGTGTGGGGTGGAGTCTTGGCAGCCATCTCCAAGGCTGGGAAGTGGGGAGTTGGGTCCACGATGGCACACACCTGCCCAGGACAGCATCTATCAACCATAGTCCCTTTTAGCCTGATCTACATTCAGGTGGACAGTCCAAATCTCTCCACACATGGACTAGTAAATTGTAGTGTGGAAAGAATCTTGATTAACAGCAAAATTCATACATACCATCACTTCATAGAGTACCAATCAGGAATGAGCACTATTTCACAATTGATAGACACCTGGAAGATGCCTTTCTCACTAGTATGTTTTCACTTTGCATTTCATTGTGGCCTTCAGAATGAAATTCTTCAGATATGATTCCTTTTAATGCTAGACTCCTGGGCCCTTGTTTTCTCTCAGTGTTTTGCAATGTGGCTTTCTGATCTGTTCTAACCTTGTTCTTTCATTTCTGAGCCTGCTTACCCTCTGGAAGGAGCCTTTTGTTCCTTCTGAGGCATGCATCTAGGCAACTTCATGAATTGTCTCCCTACTCCTGGTCTGATAGTTCTATTCACTCTATTGCTAATCAGAAGTGACAAGGGCTACTCTTATACAGAAATGTGGATTGAGTTCAGGAAAACAGAGCTAAGGAGTAATGATTTGTTTCTGGGGGTGGAAAGATTGAATTGGAGAAAGCTTTGCAAAGGATTTAATGCTTACATTGAGAGTTGGAAAGTAGGGAGAGAATATTTTCCCCAGAGAAGAAATAAATCCTAGATAGTAGAAAGAATGCTCACAAATATGAGGATACTTCAAAAAAAGTTCATGAAAAAAATGGAAGTAAAAGATAAATGTTTTTGGCATAAAAATAATTGAAATATATGCATAGTATTTTCATAATATACATTTCCTTGAACTTTTTGAAGACCCCTTGCACATGAGGGTGGCTTATTTGGGGAACACTGAGTAGTCTACTACAGATAGGAATGGTATGAGTCCCTGAGCATAAGACTGGAAAGAGATATATATTTGATCCAGAGTTTGAATAAAATAGGGGCAGCTTTGAAGAGTTTTACAGACAAATGGTAACCAATGAAATCCTGGGAAGAAAATTATATAGTGCATTAAACATGGAAGATAGAACAAGCTGTATTTAATAAGTCCCAGCTGCCTGACAATACCATATTCTCTTTAAATTCATAAATTCATTCACTTCTTACAGTGACTCTTGGTAGTAAATATTATACTTCAATTTTCTAGCTGAATGAGAAAAGAGCAGGCAGGTAGCTAAGAAAATGATCCCCGCTAGGATAATTCAGGACTTGGGCCATGGCAGGAGCAATGAAAATGGAGAAGAAGAGACAGATGAGTTTTGAGAATAGAGCCAGTAACAGATGAGTCAACAGGGCATGCAAGTGGAGTAGGGAAGAAAGTCAAAGATGGACCTGAGTCAAGTTTCTGCGATAGGATCAGCAAGACAGAGATGTACGGATATGCCCAACAGGTCTTGAATAGAATAAGAGGATATGGAATCGGTCACATTAGATAGGGTAATAATCAAGTGTTACAGGAAGGTCAAGGAAAAGCAGGACAGACAGACACTCAATGAAGAGATCATGTGACCTTTAAGTCATTTTTTCCCTAATTGGGGGGCAGGCAGGGCAGAAGCTAAAGAGAAGTGTTGTGAAGAGTGAATGGCAGATGAGAATGGAGACAGGCACATGTATCAGCTTGTTTCCAGGAAGTTGGCCATAAGAGAGGAAACTGTGAGGGGTAAGGATGCAGTTGGAGAAAGATCCTTCAGAGAATAGTGGACTTGAGTTTGTTGAGAAGTAGAGATGAGGCTGCGGGGAGAGACTTTGAGTACAAAAGAGAAGAGGGAGAGAATTCTTGCTGCCTGAAGAGAATTTCACAATTTATCATGCTTTTGTATTCAGCATGGGGTGGGGAGAGTAGTTAGAATCAACATCACCTTCTGTTTGCTAGATGGGTACACTGAGCCCCACAGAGAGCAAATGACTTTATTGAAGAGGACAGGGACATGAACTCAGGTCGCCTGAAACTGGTTAGGCTTTTGTTTTGTGTTTCTGTTCTTATTCTTTGTCTTCCATTTAGGGGAAAAGAAGACTTAAGAGAGTATTCAAAAAACATTTTGTGGAGAAACACATTCATTGCCTAATTTGAATTCACCGCCACGATGACCTTGTAAAGTTGAGGAAAACAATGACCTCCCATTCCATTGATAAACAAACTGATCCTCAGTGAAGCCAGGTGACTTCCATAATGCCACAGAGATAGGACATGGTTGACAAGGGCTTCAAAC